GCTGCGTGGCGGAGCGGCTGGGCGGCGTGGTGCTCGGCACCACACCACTGGCCGAGGTGGCGGAGGAGCTGCTGCTGCTGCGCCGTGTCTTGCACGTGCGGGAGGCCTGCGCCGCGTTGCTGCCGCTACTGCATGAGACTCTCGTGCTCTTCCTCCGCCACGTATGTGCGGTGCCCCTTGCGGAGCTGCGGTCGGTGAGAGACGTGGTGGCTTGCCTCGCAACCGGTCTCGTGCTGCGCGCTGTGGTGCGGCATGGCCACTTTGGTGTCATGTATGACACCGGAGACGCGCTGCTGCAGGCCGGCGGCACGGTGGGAGCGTGCATCCCAGCCGAGATGTGGCTCCTGCTCGCTGCGGCCAACCATCAGCAGCACCAGCAGCATCAGCATCCCACAACAGCAACGGTGGAGAGGCTCGGTGCGGAGTTGGCACGTGGCGCGCTGCAGGCTGTGACGGCGCATGTCGCGACGGTTGAAAGTGGCGTGGCGGAGGAGACGTCGGCGGAGAATTGCGCCGCTCTACTCACCGCGTTGGCTTCGATGCATTACTTGGCAACATACTTCACACTCGTTGGAACTGCGACCAAAGAGGGGGGTAATGAGGATGAGGATGCACTATCGCTGCTGGGCTCAGCGAGTGCAACACGACGTGGGTTGCAGGAGCTGCTGGCGAAGAGCGTGTTGACATCAGAAGGGCTCCGGCATGCGTTTCTTCGTTTGCGTAACAGTCCGAGCGGTGTCTCTGCTGCTGCTGCGGATGAGTGGAACATTGCCACGCTTGATGTCAGTGCGTTTGTAGAGGCATGCTGGGCTTCACTGACACACGCGCGTGTTCGACTGGCTGCTGCTGCTGCTCTTGTCTTACCCGAAACGCACGCCGAGGCGCCACGGGGCTACGCCGCAGCCATGGCCGTCAGCTTCGAAGAGAAGTGCATGGGCCTCACAAACGTGACAGGGCGCCTTCTACCGGATGAGCTCTGCACAATGATTGAGATTGTGAACCTCATGCATCATCAGAGGCAGGTGGTGTCGGCTGACTCACAGCAACAACAACAGCAGCAAACATACACACGCGAGATGTACATTGCCGAGATATTCGTCCTTCACAGCATCGCCCTGACGAAGCACGGCCTGGATGCCGCCCCCAAGATGATCAACTCTGTCCTCGGGCTCCCTGACGACGTCGACCTCGGCAACGGTGCCACGTCACCACCACCAGCAGAAGCAGACGCAGAGTTTTTATCTCGTGTGGAGTTGGGACGGAGTTTGAGGCGTGCAGTCGAGCAGACGCAGTGGCCGTGGTTTCTCTTCCCACTCTACGACGACGAGGTCACAAGCAAGTTGGCGTGGTGTGTTTGGATGCAGCGGACATTGGGGGTGCATCAGCGCATGAAACACCTGCTGGGGTGGGAGGTGATCCTTTGCCACGCGTTGAGGTGGGTGGTATCGCACCGCGAGTCGCAGCGGGACTGGCACAGCCCCAACAGCAGCAGAGGCAACACCAGCAAAAACACTGCACACGCTGAGAAGGCGGAGATGTACAGTTTGCTGGAGAAGCTGTATTGTGGCATACTTCCGCGGGCAGGTGGGGCCATCACCGCTTCTACTGCTGCCGCAGACACGCTGAGGGCGCTCACCGCCTACGCCGCGCCACACGCGGAGGAATCAATGGAGCGCCGCCTCTTTGATGCACTGGCGGTGACCGCTACGGCTTGCGAGCCGGCAACAGCCGTCGCCATTGTGCGTCTTCTTTCACACACTATTATCGAAGAGGAAAACATCCAGAACGGCGCCTCAAGCTATGTTCCTACGCCTATGAATAGTGGCGGCGGTGCAATGACGTCTTCCTTTGGTGCCGAGGGGCTTTTACGGCGGTGGGCGGCAACCGGGCGGCTGAGCGACGAGGCGCCGCCACAAGGCGCAGTACTTTGGGACCTGGATAACTTCGTGGAGCTGCTGCAGGCGGTGGCGGGGCAGCACGAGTGCACCACTCTATGCAGTGATGGGGTTGAAACCATTATTCTACAGCAACTCGTGGAAGGCATCGCGCGTGAGTATCTGCAGCAGCACCTCCCATTGACTACCTTTGAGCGTGAGGTGCTGTCTCGCGCACTGGAGGAGGTCATGTGGCACCCTGATTCTTTACATGAGGCACTGGCTGAGACACCACTATGAATCACTAAAACCAACGAGGGGCAAAAACAACAACAACAACAAAACAAAGAAACAAGAAAAGTGTACGATTAACATCACAGAGACCTGTGTGAAGGCAACTCACTGCCAGAGCAAGCGGGCGCTTCTACTAGACCCGACGCGTGCTTCTTCTTCATGCATGGTGTGAATGCCTTACTTTTCCTCATTTTTTTGTTCCCTGGTGCTCCTCCTCTCATTGCATTGCGGCATTGCGACAGACGCATTGGGCGGTGCGTGTCTAAGTGCGTGCTGTTGAAGTAAGTCATGTGGGGATGCGGTCCAGTGCGGACCAGCAGAGCGGCACGATTTGCATGGAAACAGAGCTACCGCGACCTGCTCCCACCCACGGCCGCCTCCTCGTATGTGTGCGGCCAGCTGCGTCTGCGCGACAGCAGTAGCAGCAGGGATGGTGGCGGTGTGCCAATTGTGGTGGAGAGTCCGTCGGATGCCACCGGCGTACTCACTTGCGCCGCCCACACAACGGAGGCGGCGCTGCATGCTTGGCGTGACATTACGCGTGCGGCTCGCCCATTGTCGCACGCCGACCGCTGCCACGTGCTGGACGACTTGGCGGCGGTGATGACAGACAACGCGGAATTGCTCGCAGCAGCGGATGCGCTGGCCACAGGGATGTGCCTGCGCGAGGCATGTCGCTCCGTCACTGACGCGGTGCGCTTCCTCGCATTCTGCAAACAGCAGCTGCTTCTGCCGCGTGCAGTGCGACAGGAAGAAATAGGTGACGCGGACGCCGTCTACAAACACAAGGTGCTCCACGCCCTTGGAGGCAGTGGTGCTGCTGCAGAAGGTGTCGATGCGGGTGTGGCGCTGTGCCTTGGCCCCGCAAGTTTCCCGCTGCAGCGCGGCGTCGAGGCGGTGGCGGCGGCGGTGACGCGTGGCTGCCCAGCTGTGTGGCTGCCGTCGCTCGAGGCACCGTTGTCCGCGCTGTGGCTCATGCATCTCCTCCATCGTCGCCGCCGCTGCAGCAGCAGCGGGAAGACGACGCTGGCAGACGCAGCACTTCCCTCGGGGGCGGTTAATATCATTCTGTGCCGCAGCGACGAAGTCGTGGGGGCCGTCACCGGTCGGCGAGAGGAGACGCCGGCAGTTGTTGGAATAACGAACGGCTTCGATGAGCAGACTGCCCACCTTCTGCAGCACTCGCAAGGCACACGTCCGACGTCCTGCGGTGCGACCGCCGTGCAGGCTGTTCGCTGGCACCATCGCGTGGCAAAACCGACAGTAGCCATTGTGGGCGCACAGCGGCCTCACCGTCACGCCACAGGAAGTCGGGCGGAGCCTCCGGAGTCACCTTGCGTGGCAGCACGCATTTGCCGCTACGCGTTTCACTGCAACGGGCGGACGCTGCACCCACTCCACATTGCGTTCGTTCCCCAACCGGACGTACGGGTAGTGCTGCACGGCGTGGCACAGCAGGTGCGCCAACTGCGCGTGGGCCACAGCCTAGACGCCACCGCTGACGTTGGGCCACTGCCCGGCGCCGCGCACTTGGCTGCGATGAAGGACACTGTCGAGGCGGCGGTCTGCTGCAACACGGTCCGTCTGCAGCAGGTATGTGGCGGCTTCGAAATGGCGATGCCAGGGGGGTACTTTTGTCTCCCATGTGTGCTCTACACAAGCGTGGCGCAGGTG